GTTAAACTGCTAGCATTATCTTCTTTAGGTTTGTCTTATCCCGCGCTACAATGAAAATCGTCGAAAGCGGCTGTTGTTTTTCTTACTAGGGCATAACCGCAATTTGTTGGTTGTTCGTGAATATCCTACACTTATCACACAACGAAGTGAGAAAATGTCAACACTACGATCTCGTGAAAATATTACAATTTTCTCACTTCTTATTGCTATGTATGTCATATTAACTCCAATCAAGTATCCTCTATAATGCATATATAAAGAATGAAACAGTTTAGATATTTTTTAGGCAAAATAATCAGAAAAAAACACTAAGATCGAAATGTGTTATCAACGATTGTGGAAGTGTGTTGCAGCTTCACCTACATAAGCAATTCGGTTAGATATATCTAATGTACAGCCTAAGAAAAATAGTATTGATCCGATATAAATGTATCAATTAAAATATTCTAAAAGTCGCTATATTTCGTTCCTTTGGCCTTCACAGCTTTAATTAATAGATTGTGACTTGACACGTACTTAATATAACATATAGCAGGTTTCTTTTTTCATTCATCTATGTTATTAAATTGCTAATTAGCGGGTTCATATTTCAGTCGCCCGCGGTAAAAGTCATTTATGTAAAGTTATAATTGTGTGGTTATGGCTTTGTTCTTTGCCAATTAATGTCAAACTTTTTAATACAAGGCAGACTATATAATTATGAAGAAAAATGGTAAAGCATATGAAAACATAATATTCTGAAAGATATTTTCATCAAAACACTTAAACCAAAAATATTATGTAAATATGCAATTTACGCATAGAAATATACAATATATTTTGTTGTTGTTGTTGTTGTCGTTGAACGGAATCCTCAGAATACTTTTCCGCTGCTCTACGTACTGAGCTATCCGGCCACTGCAGCCTTGGTAAGTAAACGGTCTTATACCAATAATATATGCAAATCATCAATGCATTATTTTAATCTGTAAATATCCTTAATGTGTTGACCAATTATTATTTGAATCTACATGATTTGATTTGAAAATGATAGCAAAACAGATAGAGATGTGATTCAACTTCGATCAAATTTAATTTGAGCTATAACTGTATAAAAGAATGGCCGACTATTAACATGCGTTTTTTTGTAACAAAATAAACGTGTATGAACCATCAAATTTACCCTCTATGTTTAAAAAAAGATCAAATGCATGGATGACAAGCAAATGTTTTATTTCTATACCGAAATATTCGACAATTATCTTTAAATACTGCTATTAATTTATTTTCAAAACATACACAGTTAAAGACTGTCAAGGCACTGAAGGCAGTGTTTGATCGGAAAAATAACAACTTCTCTATTACACATCACTGGAATCAAATGTATTTCGTGATCTCGTGAAACTTTCCGATACCACAATACAGAAAATCTCTATTCTCATTTCCTCTGCTTTTTGATGTAATTTCCGGTTCAGACATGCAAACATTTTCATGACCTCCATCTGGCATTCTTTAAACCACATAATATACAAAACCGGGTCTATCAAAGAGTTTACAGTGGACACACCTTCAAATGAAATTCGTAAATAAAGAACTCCAACATCAAAATATCGGACAGCAATTATTATGGTACCATACGCAAATCCTGTCAGAAGTAACACAATAAGGCAGGTAAGGACAAGCCCCGTTGATTTGTAATAAGTCAGAATTGACCTGGTTGATGACAACGATAATCCGCCGTTGCTTCGATACTTTTTAGACTGTATCAATCTTAGAATCTTCCAGTTACATATACATGATACTGTTGTCACTATCAAAAGACATATTCCTAAATGTGTAAATATGATATTGTTACATGCGCCAGCTTGAACGAATACTTTTTCTGATTTTAGGCGTAAATAACAAACACCGTAACGCACAATCACAAATGAAGCGACGTACAAAGACCACGTGGAAAGTATCACAATTCTCGTCATCTTCTCTGATACAATTCTCAAATACCGCATTGGATAGTAGAATAAAAGGAACCGTTCAACTGACATCATCATTACGCTTATAAGTGACAGATGGTAAGAAACGCTGCCAAATACCTGAAAAGCTAAGTTCGTTGCCGGATCATTTATGAATTTCCTAATCGTTGATACTACGACAAAATTCAAATCGTATAACAAAATTCCAGTACACAAGAACTTAGAAGCGTAAGGAATTTTCTTAGTTCTCCGCAATACAACCATTGCTAATACATTTATAGTTATAACTAACGTACTTATTATAATGTAAATAAATTTTATTTCTAGTGAAAACTTGTCGAAGTCCGTGAATAATTCATTTTCCATTTCTGAATCGGAGTATTCTTGTGAAATACCGAACTGTAGAGAGTCATTTCCGGAAATTGTCAAGGTCATATTTAGATGCTCTGCACAGGATAACTCCTGACCAAATGCCTACAATGTCGAAATGTAGGTTTGGTGTTACAAATTCGTAATTGGTCCACTCAGTTGTTGTTGAGTTGTTAAATGCCTGAAAGTAAAACTACATGTTGCGGGATTTTGATCCATAATGCTGAAACATGCGGGTCTATCTCCGAAGTTCTTTCCAGGATCTTCGCGTGGGTAATGTCGAATAACGAATAGTCATTTACCTTTTGTACAGATGCATGCTTTTTTATCTTATTTACAAATCATGCCGACATGAAGAGACTCGTTCCCTATATTCAGTTTGTCAATCCCTTTTTCTTTTTTAAATTCCCATACTTTTTTCCAAATTTCCATTATAGCATTTAACCATTCATAAGTTATGCGTTCCTATATCATATTCGACTCTTCAAGTACGCTCACTATACATACATATACGTATAATAAGATTTCTTAAGGTATCATTAATGTTCATATGTAAAGCTGATTTTTTACGATCATCCAAGCAATTTTGAAAAAAAAGTTACTTTATAACTATTTCTTTTGTGAAATCAAAATCCTTGCGGTAGTTCCTTTTTATGATTATTGTCTTTAAAAATGGCAGTAAATTGCGTCCACTTTATTTCACACTCTTGCAATCTCAATGTCTCAAATCCAAGTAATTTATATGACAATATTGAATACAATAGAATCAATCCGTCACGTGGACATCGTTTATCCATAGCAACCGTTGCAAAGCCAATATTCCATTTTTAAAAAGTGAGCAGCGAAGTATGATAAAGCTAAATTACCTTAATTATTCAAAGATTGTTAGTGCAAACTATATACAGGTAGATATATGTTTCCGGCTCAGTAAAAATATAACAGAACTTCCTTTGTTGAATTTCCTTTTTGAGGAATATATCACCATAACAAAAAGCACAACACATAATGATGTTTTACTGGCTACTAAATACCTAATTGTTAGCTGTATTAGTATAAATACTTCCTAAAAACAGTAAGTTAGGTAATTTCGTTGCCAGCCGTATAAAATGCCATCTTTAGCAATGTCATGCGGTTACCATGGGTTCATTCGTCGGTTGAGTTCTTATATAAACTTTGCCGCGACTAATCAGCTGGTCCGTGGAAAATAATTATTTATGTATCTGATGAACATGGGTCCTTTGGAAGGAACTGAAAGACTATAAAACAAAGACATATCAAAGATATAGAAACATAATTTATTTATTGATGTACAAAGTACATCTGTGTTCTATACATAAAATAATGTAAAATTTTATAATTTTACCCCTTTTTTTATGTTTTTAAAAGTTTGAATTTTTGGGTTTTAAGGGCCGGGGGATAGGGGGCGTTGGGCGGTAATTTTCACTTTTTAAAAAGTAGTTTTCCAAAAGAACAAACTCAATTCCCAACCCGGAAACCCGAAAAAATTTTCAAAATTTTTTTGTTTTTTAACTTTTTTTTTTTGAATTCTTATTTTCTATATTTTACAAAATACATCTGTGTACTACACACAACTTATGGCGAATGCAATAAAGCATTACATTCTCGTTCAATGTTAACGGATCACAGGTTAGAAGAAAAGTGATTTATTGTTTTTTAATAGGTTATGAATGTTGAATAAGTAAAGATTTGGAAGGATAATGCGGCGGTTATGTATAAAGAAAGGTTTATTTGGACTGTTATTGTTTAAACAATTATTATGAAATGCTAATATTCATCTACTTCTAATATTAAAATATACATCTTTAGCGGCAGAAAATAACGTTATATCCTTATTTTGGGTCCCAGATTTTTTTTACTTGAAAATTGTTTAGTTTACTTATGAACGAACGCCATAACATGACAAAAAGACTGGAAATTATAGCATTAAAATAAAAAATATTAGATATAGATATATATCAATTTCAAATTATTTCTCAAATAATAATTTAACAACTCAGTATTATTAATCATAGCTACATTGCACTGTGATATTAATTATTTGTTAATTCTGGGACTAATGTAGGTGAATATATGTTTCCATTTACTATGCAAAATGTGCTTCTATAATGCATGTATGTGATCATGTCAATTTAATATTGATGCACGTTTGCCACATTATATATTTTGCATATTATACCACATTGGTCTTTGTCCTTGTGGAAAAAAAAGATAAATGAAAAAAATAAATAAAAAACTATATAATGTCCAATTTTAAATGAAATATTTAGTTAACTGATTAGTATTATTTTCTTTGTAATCACCTGTTAAATAGTATGAAAAATAAACTTAACTTTTGATTACAATTTGTCAATTTTCAACACCTATCCGCCAACCAATTTACACATCAACCGTTTTAATATTTTTATCATCACGTGTCAATAAAGGTGTGAACAATATTCAACTAACCAATCACATCGCTTTATTCTGTCACTCATGTCGTATGCCTGTTTGGCAAGATTTGCTCCCTGTCACTACAAGTAATGAGTTGAGAAATATATATAAAGTGGTATTATTTTCATAATCAATATATTGATGGTTTAGCCTACAATAAAAAAACCTCTGAAATAACAATAAAATATTACAAGTTTTTGCACGATTTTTACGACATTTACAACCAGAATAATGGATAATTCTTATTCTTCTTTGCCTCTAGTTGACGGAGAAATATTTCAATTAGATGATTACGGCAATAAATCTATAAGATGTGACTATGATGGTAAGTATAGCTTCATTTTTTCGCTTTTCGTTACAACATTATGTTAATGCCTGACCAAATATTCAAGCAATAATGAATAATGAATGTATATGATTACAAATGAGGTAACAAATTTACAACAGCTATTTGAATTGTTTAAGCGTTGGTTTAAAACGTGCGATATTCGACTTATAGGAAATTTACAAATTTTGTTACTTTGGTATGATTTTGATTTGATGGTTAAATTAATGGTTTCACAAGTACAGGTACACACAAAGAATTATTAAAAAGATACAAACATAATTATCTACATTTCTATAATGTATTTCAAATTGTCATCTCTATTATATTAACCATTATGTATATATATTAGAAATTTAACCATTATGTTAATATTTGTTATTGCAGACTCATCTTCGGGATACGAATCAACGGACGTGTCCGATGTTGAATCATTACCTTCCATGGAGTCACGTGATAATATTGACATGTCACGTGACAGTCGAAATAACTTCTTACCAATAGATCCGGAAGCGGAAGTTATGAACTTTCAGTCTATGCATGCGTTGTGCGAACATCTTAAGCTCATAATATCGATGCCACAAATGTGTGACGTAACATTTCTTGTTGGACCACGTGATGAACCTGTGCATGGTGTTAGGGCAATTTTGGGCACACGTAGTCGGTAAGAAATTATATAACTAAATACATTGTTAATGCTGTAAATTTGATTTTTGCATAATTATAATTATTTATCATAATATATATTATGTATTTTAAAAATCAAAGATGTTTTTCTTGACGTAGACCCCTGTATACATATATGCTGTTAACAACAATTTCTATTATATTTTATTATTTTCAGGGTAATGTATCAGCTATTGTTAAAACACATGGCGATGAATGCCGCTGAAGAGGAAGACAAAACTTCCAAAAAGAAGAAGTCGAAGAAATTCACATGCAACCAACCAATCGGAATCGGTCGGTCTTTATCGCAGAGATTGGTCATTCCCGTTAAGAAATACGACCATGATGATGTGTTCCAAAAGTTAATTCAATTCATCCATTGCGGTACTGTGAACATTTAAATTTAAAAAAATTTTTTAAAAATAAAAAAATACCCCCAGTTTTTTTTTTTTAAAAAAATAACAACCTTGTTTTAAAATTTTTCCCCCTAAAATTTTTTTTTTTTTAAAAAGGGAAAATTTTTCCCAAAAAAAAAAAAATTTTTTTTTTTTTTAAAAATCAAATTTCTTAATTATTATTTAAAAAGGTTATTTAAAATTTTTTTACCTTTTAAAAAGATTTAATGTCTCTTTTACCCCTTTTTTATTTTAAAAACTTGTGGGCAAATCAGTGGGGGAAAAAATTTTTTAAAAATTCCCAAAACCCACCCTTTAGCCCCAAGCACCCCTAAAAAAAAATTAAATTTTTTAAAAGGAATTTAAAATTTTTTAAAGTTCTTAAAAGAGAAAAAAAAACCCTGTTCCCGGGCTCGTGCCCAATTTTAAAAAAAATTTTTTAAATAAATTTAAAATTTAAATTTTTTAAAAAAGTACCCGGAATTTTTATTTTTTTATTTAAACCCCAAAAAAATTCAACTTTTTTGGGGGTATTTTAACCGGTTAAAAAATAATTTTGGTTTAAAAAAATTCACATATTGGGGGTTTTTTTTGGAATAAACCCAAAAAAGGGTCCAGTCAAAAAATTCATTTTTTTGTTTTTTAAAAAAACACCCCCAATGTTCTTTAAAAATTTTGGTTTTTAAAAATTTTTTAAATTTTTCTAACAAAAGGGAAAAAAAAGGAAAAAAAATTTTTTAAAAAATTTTTTGCCCCCTTTAAAAAAATTACTTTTCCCCCCCAAAAAAATTTACTTTTTTTAGAAAAAAAAAAAATGGTTTTAAAAAATTTTAATTTTGTTTTCCCTTTTTTAATAAAATATTTTTAGCGGAAAAAATTTTTAAACTTTACCCCAGTTTTTAAAACTTTTTTTTTTTCCAAAAAGGGGGAAATTAAAAATTTTAAAATTTTTTTTAAATAAAGAAATTTTTTTTTTTTTTTCAAAAAATTTTTTTAAAAAAATTTTATTAAATATCAAAAATTTTTTTTTAAAATTTTTTTAAACAAAAAAAGGGGGAAAATTATTTTTTTCCCACCCCAAAAAATTTAATGGGGTTGTTTTAATTTTTAAAAATTTAAAAAATTTTTTTAATTGTTTGTTAACCCCGAAAAATTAAAAATAAAAAAAAAAAAAAATAAATTAAATAATTTAAATTTTTTAAATTTTAATTTTTTTTTTTAAAATAAAAATAAATTTAATTTTATTAAATTTTCAATTTTTCTTTCCCAACCTTAAAAATTTTTTTAAAAAAATTTTAAATTTATTTTAAATAAAATTTAGGGGGAAAATTAAACTCCCAATTCAAAGTTTATTCTTCCCCTAATCACTTTTAAATTTCTCCCGTTTAAAAAATTAGTATTTAAAAAGGTATTTTCTAAAAAAAAGGGTTTCCCCCTTTTCAAAAAATATTAAATTTTTTCCCGTTTTTAGCATTCCAGAAAAGATTTTTTTCTTCTTTCCTTTTTGTTTGGGTTTTCAGTAATGAAAAAATAAAACAAAAGGGGAAAAATTGGATTTAATTTTATCTTTTCTTTTTTTAAAAATTTTTCCTCAAATATTAAAAAAAATGAAAAATGAATGTTTAAACTGGAAAATTTTCCAAATTTTTTTTTGAGTTTAGCCTTGCTTAATATGCAATTGGCTTATGTCTTAAAAAGGGAGTGCGCTTTTAACTTACATATACATATTGTATTGTATGCATGTAACTGACAGACACAACAGATCAAGCACACATGCATGAATATAGAAAAATCAAGTTTTTCATGTTCATTTCTCTATTTATAGTGCAATTTTGTCGTACTAAATCATCACTTTTTGTATTGTTACTGCATGTTGCTAAAAAGCTTTTTTCGATGCACATACCGCATTAATAACTTTTCTATCTTGAGAAAATATTAGAAATGATAGTTTAATGTCTCAATTCCGACTAAAAGGACGCAAAGAAAAGAGGAATTGATAAAAGATTGAACTTGATTTTCTGTCAGAATGTTAGCCACTTTCATGGTATTTCTGCCATCGACGGCAGCATTTATAATATGTATCTGCCTACAACGGCAGCATTGTTTCTTCGACCGGTCAAGATTGAGCGTCTGTAAAACTTTCAAGAAAAGACTCACGGGGTAGATATTTGGCTTGCGTGACCCCAATGGATGAACGTCTATATTGATAACAGGAAATCCTGCGAATTACTTAAAGCTTGATATATTTTGAACAGAAAACAGACAATTTCACGGATTTTTCCGAGGCTGTCACTTTTAACCTGATCAAAATAGTCTTAAAAAGGAAAAAACGAGTCCAAAATTACCTCACAGTATCTCCATTGAATGGACAATAGTTTTATAGCAATGATATGGGCCGTATTCGTGTAATATAATTAAACCAACCAAATTTATAACCTACCTGTACCGATCGGTAATTTTCAGATATCTGCCATCACTGCAGTGATCTGCCATCACTACCGCCGGTAATACGGTGTGTTAATGTTGTCATATGATTCACGTGGACAACGCTGTCGTCTAAAAAACTGGTGTTTGGATGTTTTCGGGAGTTTTCATATATATAGGGTTATATACAGGATTAAAACTGCCCAAATCTATAGAATTTCTTTATACTTGGCATAAATATCTAGATTATGATTGAATGTATGAGAACAGAAAAAAAATAAGCGATTTTTTTTTATTTTTGCTGTTACCGTTCTCGTTTTAGTTATATGCCCCTGAAATTCAATTTCAGATTATTCACTATAATTATGAAACTCCCTTAAACGTATTCAATGTATTTGAAGACAATGCATTAGGAACTCTTTTTTCAGGCTCGCCTTTATCAGCATTTAAAAAGATTATCTATGTACATTGATATATTATATGATAATCAGACTTATGTCATGTTGAATTTGGCCATGTTAAAATGAAACTTTGCAGCAAATGTGTGGTTAATTATACAGGCGAATATCAATCAGCAAAATGTTCCTAAGATATAAATATAATACAAAATTACAACAGAATATTATCTGACAATAAGAGAAATAACAAATGCCAATAAATACCGGAACCACCAGATTCTCACTTTTTTTATTTCATCTAAAATAACGAGAGTCATTGATTTGTAAACGATTTTTCCTGGCTAACATGCATTTTGCATTTTTCATGCATGAAAACTTAGAAGCGTAGGGAATTTTCCTAGTTCTCCGCAATACAACCATTGCTAATACGTTTATAGTTATAACTAACATACTTATTATGATGTAAATAAATTTGATTTCAAGTGAAAACTTGTCAAAGTCCGTGAATAGTTTATTTGCCATTTCTGAATCGGAGTATTCTTGTGAAATACCGGACCGTAGAGAGTCATTTCCGGAAATTGTCAAGGTCATAATCAGATGCTCTGCTCAGGATAACCCCTGACCAAATGCCTACAATGTCGAAATATAGGTTTGATGTTACAAATTCAAAATTGGTCCACTCAGTTGTTGTTGCTGAAGTAAAACTTCATCTTGGTGGATTTTAATTCATATGTTCAATCATGTAAGTCTATCTCCGAAGTTCTTTACAGGATCTTCACAAATTTTTCGTGCGTAGGTAATGTCGAAAAGTGGATAGTCAATTAACTTTTTGACAGATGCATGGATTTTTTTATTATTATTTACAAATCATGCCGACATGAAGAGACTCGTTCCATGTATGCAGTTTGCCAATCCTTTTTTTCCTTTTTAAAATTCTCATGTATTTTTTCCCAAGTTCCCATGATAACTTTTAACCATTCATTATATATGCGTTCCTGTATCGTATTCTAATGTTCAAGCACACTGTCTATATATACATATACATATCACTAATTTGTGAAACATTTTCTTAGGTTACCATCAATCAACTGTATAGCTGATGTTTTACCATCATCCACGCAATTTCGAAAAAATGATACTTTATAATTATTTGTTTTGTGAAATCAAAATCTCTGTGTTAGTTCCTTTTAATGTTGATTGTTTTTAAAAATGGCAGTGAATTCCGTCCAGTTAATTTCACACTCTTACAATCTCAATGTCTCAATTCCGAGTTATTTATATGACAATAATGAATACAATGGAATCAATCCGTCTCGTGGGCATCATTTATCCATAGCAACCGTTGCAAAGCCAATATTCTATTTTAAAAAAGTGAAGTGAGCAGCGAAGTATTATAAAACCATTTATTTTTGCTAAATTACCTTAATTATTCAAAGATTGTTACTGCAAACTATATACAGGTAGATATATGTTTCCGGCTCAGTAAAAATTTAACAGAACTTCCTTTGTTGAATTTTCTTTTAAAGGAATATATCACCAGAACAAAAAGCGCAACACATAATGATGTTTTATTGACTATTAAATACCTCTAAATTTTAGCATTATTAGTATAACTACTTCCTAAAAACGGTTAGTTGGGTAATTTCGTTGCCAGCCGTATAAAATGCCATCTTTAGCAATGTCATGCTGTTACCATGGGTTCATTCGTCGGTTGAGTTCTTATATAGACTTTGTCGCGGCTAATCAGCTGATCCGGGGAAACAATATTTTATGTATCTGATGAACATGGGCACCTTTGAAGGAATTAAAAGACTATAAAACAAAGATATATCAAAGATGTAGAAATATAATTTATTTATTGATGTACAAAGTACATCTGTGTACTATACGTAACTAATGGCAAATTCAATTCAAAATATAAATATGACACATTTATACAAAATATGAAAGGATAACATGAACAAAGTTGAGTTTTACAAATTTTTATTATGAATCCAATTAAGTAAAAATTACTTATAATTATTACTTGAGTAAAATGTAAAACAAAAATGTATCACTAACCTGTAAGAGAAAGATAATGTTATATAAAAAATTTTTTAAATTTATTGGGGTTTAATTTTTGTTTAATTCTAATTCCCCATTTT